CTCATTTTTTCTTCAACTATCTCACACAATCATTTACGTTTTTCACAAAGACACTCTCCACACTGGATCTCAGCGAAAATGAAATCGGAGATAACGGAGCACAACAACTTGCTGATTTATTAAAAAACAATACAGTAAATCTAATGTTTTCTTCAACTATTTCATACATACATTTGCATTCTTTCACGCAGACACTCACCACACTTATGATCCACAATAATCGAATCGAGACGAAAGTTCTAGATCGTGTAAATGAACTTCTACACACGAGTGAACGATTGGCAAAATCGTAAATGTTAGTGATGAAAATACTATCGTGTTGAACTAGAACAATATGTTTATCATTGAAACCGTGTTTATGAATTGTCGATCTTGTTCTACTTCTTTTTACAATAAAATGATCATAATATATTGATTCTTGTTTAAGCTGTGCTCTGAACTGAAGGAGATGTGATAGTATAATTTCAAAGTGTTATTTGTGATTCTGTCATGTATGTTTTTGTCATGGGTCGAGCTCACATCGATAGAACATAGTTACCAGCTATTGCGTATTAATCAAACGAAACGAACTAACAGAAAAGATGATTGTTAGTATATGATCAAGAGAATGGTGGTTAGTACATGTTATGTTAATTGCTCAGCTGATGCTGGTTTCATCTGATTTTGAACGGCATAGTATTTTTGAAAAAATCAGAGAACTATGCGGAAACTAAGTAACTTGTTTAAAGTGTCTTTTGAAAACTGATCCAGAAAGTATCTGGTTCATGATATATTTGATATAAGATTCGGAAAAACTGAGTTATGTTTATCCACTGGAAAAAACGAAAAACTGCAAGCATTGGTAGTTTTGATGATGAATTAATAATGCTCTGGTAGAATATTATTTATGTATTTATTTATGATGCGATGAAATCTATGAGAATCTTTTGTTCTCTCGGCAAGTTTATGTACGACACTATTAATGACAGTTAATACAAATTTTTAGTGCAACAATGATAATATAGTAATTAAAGTCTATTCAACAACAAGAGCTGTTTCAATGATTACTAATATATATGTGACGATTGATTGATGTCATCTTCAGTACATTAATTCACAAAAGACATATCTTCGAACGTATATTTTCTTCAAAATCAATAAGATCAGAATATACATTTACTGCGAAAGTTATTTTTAGCAGTGTTTCTGACAATTTTCAGTATGATAGTTGACAGTATTTGTGTTTTAAAATAAATGTATTTACACTATGTACAAATTGTCAAAACTATGCAAATGAGTATCTTCTTCACTGTTTTTTAGATTGATTTGAAATAGCAAGCATTTATTTATATCTATCTTTCTGATTGTTACATATGTTTTAAATAAATAATATCAACGATATTTACTCGATATGTCAGAAAAGAACCATATAAGTCATTGTACTGAGTTATAGTGACAACAAGCTATTACAAAATATTAGTATTGATTATATCATTCTTAGAAATTCCAATCGATTATTTGTGAATAATAATGAATAAATAAAGAATACTAAGGCCAAATGTACTTGATATGAAATATCCCAAATACAATTTAAATAGTTTCTAATCCAATTATTTACCACCAAATGATTACAAACTGTATGAAGAAGCATTGCTATAATTTCTTCTATTAAACAAAAGCATCAAACAATCGCGGACAGCAAAACAAAACAGTATTTTCAACCAGTTGAATTTTATACAGATCGAACCGATTTTTGATAATTGAAAGAACTCTATCAGTGAATTATCTATATAAAGATTATATTTACATTTCAAAGTACAAGAATGAACATATATCAGTATTAATTTCAAAAAATGTTTCTAAACTAACTGTCAATCTAAAATTATCTAATATTTCTGCGGTTATAAAATGTGAAAAAAATTCTTTTGAATAACATGAGTACAAATAGATTATAAAAAATACACAATGAAAAGAACAAAACATTATTTTCACTCATTTATTTTTATTATTCAAGTTATTCATTCAGTTTATTAATTTTAAAACGTTAAAGTAATTCTTTTGCATGTTATATTATCAACAACATGTACATCGAAATTATTTCCTTGAGAAAAGATTACAATACGTTCAGCCATAACATATTTTCCTTGTTCAATCTAAAAATTAAGATATTTATATTCAATAAGAAAAGAGGACATGTAATTCAACATTCTTACATTACGGCGTGTCCAAGCTGACGGAATCACGTTTTTTCCTTATGTCAGTTCTATAACTCGGTTATACAGAAACCAATAAGTCTGAGGTTTTATATAGTCTACATGAGCCTGATTCCTCTTCAAAAGTATGGGAGTTTTTCTTAAGTTTACCAAATCTGTTTGTGTTTTACGATCAAAAATATACCCTGTTGAGGAATCACACAAAACGGAACGTCATGTTTAATCGATTGCTCAAAAGTGCAAAATTCAATTTAACAACAGGAATAGAAAAACACGATTTGAAGCAGATTGATAGGCTAGATAATATAATATCTAAAGAAAAAGAAAACTTGAAAAAATATTCAAAGCTACCTTTGCGCTGCTGAAATATGTGTCGTTATGGAATTACATTTTCGCATGTCTGTTTCTCTACTTAAAACAATCACTCCAGGCCAATTTCGTACATATGTATTCACCATATCACTGGCAAACTTGTGCTGAAAATTCAGGTTATATATTTCATCAGCTTCAAAAGATAAATAAATTGTTTTATAGAAAATTTGCCCATAGGGGTACGATTTTACGTGGACAAGCCGATGTCTTAATTATGAGTAAAATATTTATTCAAACAATTTCAAAGACTAACACGAGATTCGTGTTCCTCGACCTCCATTAGCCTTCGGTCAACTCAATCAGTCAATTTATGTTTACTGGATTGTTCTATACTAGAAAGAGAATATTGCTCATTTAGTGAAACAATTGTTTCGTCACTACATTTATCGCTGAATCAGTAAAATTATTACTCAGTCGATGTTATTATTGCTAAAATTGATTATTCTTCATTTAATTAAAAGTCATAATAAATAAAAATACCTAGTAGCCTTTATGATATACGATGGCAACCTGAACAAAAGTACAATAATGCAAAATATATAAAGCTAGAATGTTATTTATTAAGTTATTCATTACCGTATACTAGTATATTTCCTTTTTTTTCATTAACGACTGCTGATTATTGTTCATATTCGATCTTGGAATGTTGAAGTAGAGAATAACATTCAATCATTTCCATAAAATATACATATATCGTCAGTAGAACTATTAACTTGGTGTTTCGAAAGCTTAATTAATGTCTGGAATGCTACTTTGTTATAAAGATCAGTTGTTTTTTCTCATACATTTAATTTAGCTGATCTATTTCTATAACTTAGTGTCCTGTGTGAAACACCTAAGTGAGAGGACTATAACTGACTTTTCTAAATTATGAAATAAACTATAATTCATCATATCTTTAATACGGCTAAATTTCTCAATACATCATAAATACGTGATTGTTCCTTTTATTTAATTCTAATTAATAATGAATACTAATTAACTGATGCGATCAGATCATGCGTTGGCGGCATATCCATATATATATCGCAGTTTTTTCACTTCTTCTTCATCATATGAGGCCTCGTTCATCAATATTACAATGCAATTTCATATAAGTTACTCTTCTTATTATTACGGGGAACACTCGTAAATAATTAGAGATGTCAATATGTCTGAGAAGATCATTTATACACATACGTATAAATGTGTATTACCGTATCAGTGGGCTTTGTCCATGACGTCTTTAGCATTTACAGAATTGTTCTTCGTACGCGCTCGCTAGTTACTAAAAAATAGAATTCAGAAACAAGTGAACAAAACACTCTTTTACTTATCAAATATTCTTTATGATTTCTTTTTTACAATTTCAATATTCTCCTTCACACTTTTTATATTAGGATGAGTTGGAGGCAATGCACGTTGCAATATGTCCAGAGCACGTTCATAATATGACACTGCTTTTGAATAGTCTTTCACATTGTAATACATAATACCGATATTGTTGTATAAAGTAGCTAAATCAGGATGATTTGAAGGAAGAGTTTTTTGTCGAATTTCAAGTGATTTCTCGTAATATGAAAGTGCTTTCGAGTACTCTCCCATGCTGTCATACACCAAACCGACGTTGTTGTATGAAGTAGCGAAATCAGGATGATTTGCTGGAAGAGGTTTTTGGCAGATTTCAGGCCTTTGTTCGTAATACCAAATAGCCTTTTCATAATCACCCTGGCGAAATTTGACAGATCCTAACTGATTGTAATAATACTGCTTTCCACCCTCATCAGATGTCTGTTCGAGTAATACATTATAAAGTTCTTCAGCTTTATTAAACTGACCAATTTCAAGCAATAAGTCACCCAAGCTTTCCCATCCAGTACCACCAGCTTCTTCTCGTATCCAATTAGTAAGTAATCGTAACTGTTGATCATCATCCGACGTTAATTCTAGCTCGACTTGATAAAGTTGATGCTCAGTGTCCATTTGTTTAATTGCACCGACTCGAAAGACGGTGTGCATTGAAAAGAGAATTTCATCTTCTTCTCTAAAATAGCTTACTTCCTTGATAGAGGCGAATGACGCTGTTTCTATATTGGGATCAATAGACATTATAAATAGAATGCCCACCATGTCAGTATTTTCCAATGCACTTAAAGCAAATCCAAGGAGTGTGTCTTGTTCTGTACTAGTGGATAAGAAGTTGTTGAAAGACATCAAAGTAGCTTTCGTTGTTTTGAGTTTTTCAAAGTTTGTTCTGGATAGACCTTGCCCCCTATAAACCAGAAATGGTTTACGATCATAGCTAATAACCTGTTGTTGGTATAGTTGTTGGATTTGTTGGTGAAGATCATGAATGAAAAATCCCATTTTAATAATGGTATCACCTTCCATCGAACGTAGAGCATAATTCAGCATAGAATAGATAAATGATGGGCAAGTATACCACCAAATAGCTGATTGAGGTTGGTATTTTTTTTCAAATTCATCAATATTATCTGTCGATCCGCAGTTATGATGTCGACAATAAATTGTAAACTGTTTAATCGCCTGTTCATCGTGTTTCATATCAAGAAGAGTTTCCTTGAATAGCTGGGTATACATAAAAGTTGGCTCCAATTGATTTAAATCATTCGTCCAAGCCATTTCATCTATCGTGAGAAAACTCATGGCAATCGTATCTTGGTTGAACTGCCTGATATCGAATTTTAATGCTTGGCATAAGTCATCAATATTAGTATGAACTCTCTTGATTTTTTGCCATTTTGTTGTCCATTCTTCATGTTGGGATTTCAAGTTACTGAAGATATAAACACCATCCACCTGAGGAATATCGTTGATGAGAGGGACTATATGTTGAGCCATAGTGTTCTCAAGAACGAGAAAAAACTTGATATTTTCTTCAGCATCTGTAAGAAAGTCAATACATTCGTCTCGTTGCTTAAAGATATTGGCATTGTCAGTATTGGCTTTTAATTGTGTCAAAATACTTTGAAATTTTCGATTTGCTTGATCCATACACTCATCTAAACAGAGAAGCGAATAATTTCAAAGCATTCGTCGCCGTTGTCGAATAACATCCGATGGTGTTATGACCGTGCTTAATGATAAAGAAGCTTCTGGATTGGACTCTGATTCACTCATTTGGTCCTTTTTATAATCTGATGTTGAATATAAATTTAGCAATAATTGTTGTGTTTTGTAAATGGTAAGAAGGCTCACCACTTCTATCTAGAATAACAATGGCATATTTTTCTAATCTTTTTTAGCTTGCTTTAACTAGTTACCTTTTAAAATACTGTTGTGAAAAGGAAGAGCCAGATCGAAATAAATCAATTTCTTAACAATGTTTACGATAGAACGAAATGATTTCGTTTTATAGTTATTCTCTCCAACTTTTTTTGGCCTTATCTATACAACGATTTCAGTAATTCAATATGCCACCAATACTCTATCATTGAAATGAAATGAAAATAGAAACATAATTCCTTCAGTGATTGTTGTTTATCTTTCTCATACATCGTTTTGTTGTTAAATGGCCGCAAGAAATTTGTTAAAACAAAAGGACTGTATCAGTGAACGAGAAGTAACTATTGATTTTAGAATATCGCAGGATCTTTGGTATTTTTCTGTTCGAAAAAGAAAAGTATTCCATACAAATATATTTAAAAGAGTTGTATTGTAAATAGTATTGAAAAAATAATAAAATCATTAAATAGTTTAAACACAGAATACTATTTTTGTACTGAAAAAATATCATCACACATTCATAATGGTAAAAATGATCAAATATAAATGTATTGTCGTGTATTGCCGGTCTTATCACATTGTTAATAGTAGCTTAAAAATGGATTTGCTTACAAAAAAGAAGTGGTCTAGAGCTTGTCAAACTGTCTATCAAACGATGTTGCTATTTGAACAAGAACAAACCTTTTCTGTGCGATAATCCAACGAAAGTTTGTTTTGTCATTAGAGCAACTAGTTTGTGAAATCATTTTTTTTATCAAATCATGTAGTTTATTCTTTTATATACTAGTACAACTATTTTAACACAATATGGCTGATCATTTTGTGATAAACAGCATATTAATATAGTAATAGAGATCTTCAAAAGCGAATGAAAATGATACCTAAAAGATTTTATTTGGTCAAAACACCACAAAAAAAAGAGTTATTACTAACGCCTTCAAACCCCTACAGAATTTATTCAAAATTTTTGCATCATCGATTTTTGTTTGACGAATACTGTTCTTAATTGATAAAAAGGAGTTGAATATATACGGTAAAAATCTTGGAACAGTGTATGCATAAACTACTAATGTATGAAAATAATTTAAAACAAGATATTTAATGCAGAAATTTAATAAATGAATTAAATGAACAGTAAATGAAGCGAAAATCATAATGAGGGTGTGGCTGAGGGTGCTAAGGGCTCTTCTTCTCTCACGATCACACACCCATTCACACCCACACCCTTTCTGTGCTCTCAAATAGAAAATATCATGAGAAGAATATCATCAGATAATCTACTTATTTATTAAGAACATATTAATTCAAATTTTTTTGTTTGGATTTTATTACTATTTTTAAGAAAAAACTTTATGATTATCATGCTTTTTTTTGAAACAACTCAATAGAGTCAGAAAGCATAAAACATATCAAATCAAATCTTCACAATTATTAATACGCATTACTTCATCGCATTTTGTTACATTAAGAGATAAAACACATAACGGAAGGAAGAAAAGTGCACCTTTTTCATTTTTAGTTGATAAAAAACTATTTCAAACGACTATATTTTACAATATTTGCTCTATCAATAAGATACTTGGTAAGTAGTGTTATAAACATTAACGAAGAAATATTTATTACTATGCAAATCTATTTTGTTCTGAAAAAAAAAAGATTTTCACTCGGTAAAATGAGATGTATTTGAGAACTGAAAAGTTATCTGACTTTGATGATGTCGATGAAGATGAAGTTTTGAATGAAAAGTAATAGATATATATGTGGATGTAAATAGAAAGATAATGACATGTTCGCTCTCATCCATTCAAAATGTATGTTATATAATTAGATTTACTGTCACAAATGTCGAGAGTAAAACTGACGTTTCTTCTTAAGGAGAGAAGAACGAGTCGTAGAATCCATTTAATAAAACGAAAAAAAAATATTCTAAAAGATGTTAAGGATGTAGTTTTGAAAATGTTTATATTATCTCTTTCAGCAGTGCACAGACAATACTTAGTGAATATATTTTGCAAACAAATAGGTACAAAATATGGCATCATGGTCGTATATCACTCAAATGTATACACTTTATGTGTTTATTCCATTCTGGTGTATAGGTTTTTCTGGTAGCTTAATGAGTACAATTACACTTTCGACTTCGCGTATGTATCGTACTCAGCCATGCACATTCTTTCTACTTATATCAGCGATTACACAATCTGTGCAGTACTTGGCTGCAGGAATATCTCGTGCTTCTGCTATTGGCTTTGGTTTAGATTTAACTCTTCTCTCACCTGCATGGTGCAAAATAAGGACATATCTTATTGATACTTGTTTTGGTTTGTCAACGACATGCGAATGCATTGCAACGATTGATCGCTTTCTGATGACCTCACGAGCAGCTAATCTACGGCAATTGAGCAACATCAAACGAGCCTATTATATTAGTGTTGGTGTAGTTGTTTTTTGGACACTTACATGTGTACCGGATCTCATTTTCACTTATATAAGGTTAGTAAGTTATTAACATAACCATCTTGATAGGTTTGCGATTTTCTTAAATACGTAAGTCTGTTAAAATGATTATTTTCATAGAATAACCATATGCAATATATATGTCAGTGTTTATGATAAAATGCGTCCGTTTTCTATGTGAATTAATTCACAACAACTGTCAGAATTGCTTATCTAGTATTGCATTAAAAATTATGACAAAACTTAGTATATGCTTCAATGTAGATAAGATATATCTAGATGATCAAATCAGAAATGCATGATGAATCTTTTATACTCATTAAATTATTTATTTAATTTTGATAAAGAGTATTAGTTCTTCACGATATATATATTGTATATTTATAATGTCTTGAAAAGTATCAGAATATAGGGGAAAAAAGAAATCATCTTGAAAGTTTCTATGTCATTTTAATATACCTGTATTTTTTAATATTTAGTTCGAATGTTTGTGCCAATTACAATGACATTTGGGGAACTTACTATACTTATGTTAATCATTGGTTTTTCTGTACAGCAGTTCCGCTGGTTATTGTCCTTGTATTTGGTACACTTGCATATCGAAATATGCACACTTTAACAAATACACGTCAACTACAAGGAGCTGATCGCCAACTTACTTATATGATTTTAGGACAAATAATATTAATTTTGATTACTATTATGCCCCGTGCTTTTTTCGATGCATACTCATCAGCATCACTTACTCTGAACAAATCGGCGGAACAAGAAAATATTGAATATTTCATCTTTAATATTGTCAATTCTTTAGGTAATATCACATATGGAGTAAGTAAGACATCCTTTATTTCATCATTTTGTTAATTATCTTTCTTGTCTAAAGAGTGGTTTCTATGTATTTCTCATTGTCTCAAAAACGTTTCGCCAACAAGTCAAACACTGTTTTTGTTATTTTGGCAAAAAAACAAACATCGTGATGCCTGCAAATGCGAACGTGACTCCTGGGGGAGTAAACACTGCATAACAAACGACGAACTCATATTATATCATGCTTTTATCATTCGCTTCATTTATTGTCGGTTCTTTATTTCTCTTTATAACTAATTGTATTGTTGTACATTAATTAGAAACTTTTCGTTGTGAAAAATGTTGTTTTAGTGTAAGAGTTTAAATATACTTTCTTATTTTTTTTGATTATCAATATACTCAACACTATTCACTTTAAAAGCAAGACGTTTTATCGAACCAATGTTTATAAGAGATTTCGTAATAAACTTTTTCAAGACATTCGAAAATGGTTTGCACAAAAATCTTTGTACTGTTTGTTGATCAAGCTATCAATTCATTTATAAATACAATCAGATCATGAAGTTATTTTTTAAGTCAGCCTACAATAAATAAAAAGTTTCGCTAGTTTATTATCAACTTCATAATAGTAAAACAAGTCAATTAGTTTATTTGCAACAGATATCCTCTGTAGAAGAAAAATAACGAAATATCTAGATAAAATAGTTTATATGTGAGGGTATGGGTGTATGGTTGAGAGAGAAGAATATTCCTTAACACCCACACCCACATCTATCCTTCTCATAGCGAGTATCTTCATCTTGAACATTTGTTGTTTTACATTACATTTTGTTATATTTTAAATATCGAGTATATTCGTATAATAGGTACAAAAGTTCGTTGTAACAAAAATCGATTTTTATGCGTGACATTTATAGAATATTAACGTGTATTTATCACACACTTTTACGAAATATTTCCCTGTATGCTAATGTTTGATAAATTACAAACTATAATAAAAAGATGTCTCTGTGTATTGAATCTCCACACGGAATATAGTTAAAGCTAAAACAATGGCTTACGTGCAGTATAGAAGAACAAGTTAAAATTATTTCTTCCTACATTCTTTTATTCATACACTATCTATAACATAGAATACGAGCATATATTATCAATAAATACATGTTGTTATTCTTTTTCTTATTCTAGCTAAAATATCGAGCAGGATGAAATTTGAACAATTACCAAATGAAATAGTCGTTGAATGCTTTCAATATCTCAATGCACCCGATATCTTTCATTCATTTGATCGATTAAACTATCGATTTTATATACTTATTCGAAACATTCATTTACATCTCGATTTTGAACAAGTTAAAAAGTCTTTGTTTAATGAGTTTTGTCAAACAATACAAATAAATCCGAAAATAAAACAAAACATCATTTATTTAAAATTATCAAATATAGATTTACGTGAACAGATTGAATCATTTTTATCATTATTTTCATTAAATGAATTTATTCGCCTTCGATCATTATCATTTATTGGCACGCTTAATTATCATACTGAATACGAACAAGTCTCATCTATGTTAACCTTATTACCTGATTTATACCGGTTTTATGCTCCTAGATGGACGATAGAAGCAGAAGCTATATCTAAAACTAAAATACAAGTGTTAACATTAGAAAACTATCGTCCAATATCTATTTATGGAACATCGTCAGTTACATCATTAAGAATTACTTTGTGTACTGTATCTCAATTACTAACAATATTAAATTATACATCGATGTTAAAATATATAAAAATCGACACGATTAATGATTATGATATGGAAGATGATAACGATGTGGACTATAAATCTGATTTTAGTAAGATATGTGCTGTTCATTTAAAACAGTTACATATAGATTATTCTGTAACTTCTTTTCGATTCATCGAACTGTTGCTAAAATGTACTCCAAACTTGAGAATCTTTTCAATCGTTACTCATATGGCTCACAACATGATTGATGCTGATCGATGGCAGCATCTCATCAAATCTTCATTACCACTATTACGTGTATTCAACTTCAAATTTGATTGTTGCTATTCTGAATCTTACGATAATATGTTAATCAAGCTTTCACCATTTCAAACTGATTTTTGGCATCAACATAATTGGTATATCAATTATGTAATCGATGACGGAATACCATCAGTTTATACTATACCATACATACCCACTTACTATACATTAACATCTACTATGAAAAAGTACAACAGTCCATCGACAAATGTTTTAAATGAATTTGATAATGTTAAGTATTTATCTTTATTTGCAAGTGCAATTAGAGATGATTCATCATGGTATTTTCGACATATTCAATCATTAAGTTTAGCAAGTACTCTTAATTATCGTGTTAAAGACGATGAGTACGAATTCAAAATAGAACATTTGAAGAACATGATCAACTTATCAAATATCACAGAACTGGAAATTACAGAAAAATGTGCAATTAAATTAGAATTACTCTTTGAAATATTAGAGCAAATGCCAAATATATCATCATTAATCTTAAAGAAACAAATTACAAGTTCATTTTACACTAATCACGAACTCTGTGAACTTTTGAGCAAAAAGATTAAAATGTTCGATTATTGTAATCCAACTCCCTATGATTATTTTGAAATCGATGATTTAGATTGGTTTTGTAAAACATTTTCAAATGTCGAAGAACTTCATTGTGATATTGATAATGTTGATGATTTTTTATTAATATTAACAAAATGTTCCAAATTATCAATAATAAAAATCAAATGCGTTGATGAATCAATCTTTAATTGGTTTGAAGACAATGCAAGAACATTTGATGTTTATATTAATTATAAACTAAAACCTCATCTATCAGCATGTGATTCAGATTAAAGAAATAATTCACATTTAATCATGTTTCAGATTTGTTTCGTTGTTCAGTGCTTTCATTTTAAGGTGCTAGAAATGAAAAAAAAGTACTAGACGATAGACTTGAACGAATTATACATTGTTGAATAGAGGAGATCACGAATGTATTCTTCGCTTCTATATTTTGAATACCAAGTTTTTGACCAAAAAAATAATAATTAAACAATTCGTAAGAAAAGTCAAGATTTCATTCGTTTAGAGCCATGGACATGTTTTAAATTTAAATTATTCCGATACAGCATCAATAACTGATTTGATCATTGTTCTTCTTCAGTTTTACAAGCTGAATTAGAAAACAAAACTTTAAAAGCTATGTTGATTTTTTTAAAAAATCTAAAAGTATACTTGCCCTTGTACTTAAGTACGAAAATAGTGCTTGGTACGTGTACTTTGTTATATACAAAAGAAAAACTATGGCAAAACTTTTACATATCCGACACGTATTTAGGTGAATCAAGCTCCTCTTGAACGCTTATAATCTATATACACATGTTTAAACATGGAAAATATAAAAATACTTCACAATAATCAAAAACTTTTGTACACTATAAAAATACCCAACGATCTTAGAGAGCATATTTATTAACTGGATGGATTATCTACTTTATTCATACTCGTGACTAGATCAGTTTGTAGAAAAATCATGAAATAATATTTCTTTGTGCAAGCTCATCACCTCTATCAAATATACACATATTAACTCCTTGACTAGGGACATTGGAAAGAAAAGAAATGGTTTATCGGAAATGTCATTAAAAGTATTTTCTAGTGCTATTTTCACAAAATGAATCATAATATCAAAAGTTTTTTAATGTGATGTGTTTTCATATAAAAATATTTCAAAAAAACAATAATATGTACTTTAATTGATTGTACCAGTTAATGCTAAAACTTCCTACGCATATATGTATTAGTAGCAAAGAATGAATTGAAAATATGGAAGTTTAAATAGATTTCAATTAGAATCTAAATTTTTTTACAGTTTTTATTCGAACACTATGTAGTATCCTTAAGCAAAGGAAACATTCAAAAAAAGATTTCTCGTCAGTTATATTTTATCTAATTTGTATAAAGTTTTGTGTATTGTATTTATCTATAGAACAAGGAAGAAGAAACTCTGTCAAGAAGACAAGATAATATATTGGATTTACCAACAAAAACTAAATTATTTTTGTTCTCATAAGTTTTATGAATTGATTTAATTGAATACTTCAAAATCAACATTCAGATATAAGCGTATGGATATAAATAAGAATGTGGCCTTGCAAAATATATAACACTATACATGACATCAAATTCATTTCAGATCTGAGGTAACGGCATTGTAATTCGCAGATGTGTTTATATATATATTTTAACTATATCATTATGATAAAGTAGAATAAGAACACTGTCATATTACAAATAAAACAACATAGTCATCACATCTATTACAAAAACTATTAATTCTTTTTCTAAACTACCTGATAATGAAATGAGATGAACTATTCACAAACAATAAAATATAAAAAATATCTTTCAAAAAATTTGTATCAATACGTTATAAATAATATCTGTGATAATACTAAGAGAAATATCTTTGTTAACATAGACATGAATCTATATAATATATTATAAATGAAAGATCTAGATTATGATCTTAATTCAAAGTTGGAAAATTTCATAGTTTGTAGAATAAATTAATATGAACAAGAAAAAGTAGCTCTGTCTATAGTTTTTTATTGATATTTCAATAGAACTTCTCGAAAGATATTCTACATTATTCAATTTGATTTTTCTGGAGTGGTATGAATCATTTCATTTAAGACTCACAAGAAGATAATTACTGATCGCAAACAAACATTATGCAGAAATCTTATTATTGTCTATTCTCTTTCGTTAAAATACATATTATCGTAAAATAAGAGAAGTTGGATGCCAGTATTTTGCTTAACTCATCAATATTTATATCCTCATTCCCATTTCGTCTTACGTCTGATATGATTATAGATTGTCCCTTACATCATCTGTTGTTGTTATTTACAAATATATTCATCTATCTCATTCATGAACTTACCTTAAAGTCTTTTTGTAAATAAAATATTTCAATGATGAATTATTCTAAATCCGATAAATACTATCAAAACAATTGAATATTATGAGTGCCTACACTACAAAATGAATAGAGCATTTGAAAGGATAATTAAAATTATCGAATTAGTTCTAAGTTTTGTTAATCATAATAAACTTATATATAAGAGTAAAAAAACAAAGATATTTATTTTTATTCGGGATCGAATACTAAAATATGCGATTATTCAAGAAAAATATGGAAGGAAACAGTTTGCGGACGTCACACAACAGGAGTTCTTCTAACAAAAGTCTTGTTTGGAATTTGAATTACTTGTAAGAAAAAGAATAAGATAAGTGACAGTTAATTTATTTGAAATAATTAATATAATTCTGCACTATTTAAAGCACCACCATTATCATATCCACCAGTAACTAATACTTTTCCATTTGATAATACAGATGTTGTGTGATAAGCTCGTGCATTATTCATGTTACTAGTAGTTGTCCAAGTTGCTGTTGATGTATCATACAATTCAACACTATTTAAAACGCTGAAGCCATCATATCCATCAGTAACTAATACTTTTCCATTCGATAATACAGATGCTGTGTGATCTTGTCGTGCATTAGTCATACTACTAGTAGTTGTCCAAACACTTGTTGATGGATTATACAATTCAGCACTATTTAAATAATTACTACCAATGCCTTGTCCACCAGTGACTAATACTAGCCCATTTGATAATACAGATACTGTGTGATCAGATCGTGCATCATTCATGTTACCTGTAGTTGTCCAAGTACCTGTTGATGGATCGTACAGTTCGGCACTATTTAAAACAATATTACCAATGCCTTTTCCACCAGTAACTAATAGTTTTCCATTTAATAATACAGATGCCGTGTGAACTTGTCGTGCATTAGTCATGTTGCCAGCAGTTGTCCAAGTACCTGTTGATGGATCATACAACTCAGCGCTATTTGAAGCATTGTTACTATCGGTTCCACCTGTAACTAATACTTTTTCATTAGATAATACAGATGCTGTGTGCCAAGCTCGTGGACTAATCATATCATAAGTACTTGTCCAAATACCTGTTGACGAATCATACAGTTCAGCACTATATAAAGCACTACCATTCCATCCACCAGTAACTAATACCTTTCCATTTGATAATACAGATGCTGTATGAAAATATCGTGCATTAGTCATGTTACCAGTAATTGTCCAAGTACTTGTTGATGGATCATACAGTTCAACACTACTTAAAAAATTACTATTCACTCCACCAGTAACTAATACTTTTCCATTTGATAATACAGATTCTGTATGCCCATATCGTGAATCAGTCATATTGGCAGTAGGAAACCATCCTAAAAATTATATTTTTATATATTTAGACTATGCAACATTATATAACCAAACAATCAACATTCGCTACTCTTCTACAGTATTTTTCATAATCCTAAAAATGGCAGTCTTCAATATGTCTGTTTTATATCACCTCAAACTTATGTAGTTCGAGAATAGTAGTCAAATGTATTATACAAATTCTCTTCAAATATTATTATGACATCATCAGTTTTCTATATTATCTATTTCCCCTATTATCTTATTCAAATATATAAAAGATGTATGTCTTAACTTAGTTACTATGCTAGTTACACCAACTGATGTGTTTTCGGATTATCTATAAATTTTACAAGTTTTGATCGAAAGATAGTCAATAGAATGAAAAATATGAACTTTGCATCAACTCTTTCATAAGTTCTCTGAATATCACAATCAAAACAGTGAATTATTTGCAGCATATCTTTTTATAACAATCAATATATAGGTATGAAAAGATCTATATAACATTCACTATTGGAACTGATATAAACTATGAACTAGCAAAAGAATGAGTAATTAATCTCAAAGTTTCTAATAATTCAATATCAAATCATTACTGGTTCTTTATTAAGTTACACAAATTCTATTATTTAGTTATCTTCTACTCTATTATCAGTGATATTTCATATCTATAATCGATATAACAACAATTTTTCATCAATCCACTATCCACATTCTCTTATGTGATAAGCAGTATTATAGAAAAAAAAATTTACAAATATGATATGAAAGATTAATCTAAAGATAAAGATAGTATTTAATATCTGATTTATAGTTCACTCAATCATCTCATCAATCAAGACAAGATAAATGAGATAATTATTGATCGACGAATGATAATCTTAGATTCTCTATCAGAACTGATTCACCTTCACATATAATTTGCACCTAAATTTTATCTCAAATGACTCATCTATTTTACAGTAAGTTTAATATTGATGATGGACAATGTCTCTTAAACTACACCTAACATACCGATAAACTAATATTATTAGAACAATAACAGCAACAGAAAAGAGAGGAATAAATAAAAATATAAAATCACGCAAAATATAAATTTTATTTGAAATGGTCTATGATACCGATTTGTATACTTCAATCTATTCATTTATATTCTCTTATTATTCAATACAACAAATGTAAACGTAAAACCATGTTACAAAAGTCTGTTCTACAAAATATTTTGGCTCAGACAAAACACAAACAACATTGAACTATTATGAAACTATAATCTCTTATTCTACCGATTAAATAATATATGAACTTGTATTAATGTGTTATTCACTAACTAAACTGAAAACTTCAACATACTTCAGTTCTTCATCTTTCTTGTTAATTAACAATGGATATCACTAATCTATATTATTCTATCTATTATATTTGTTTTCACTACAAGAAAAGTATCACTCGACAGAGTTTTTATACAAATGAATGATACCTCATCTATCACTGACTAAAATGAATTGTTCTAGTTGAGTATGATGATCTGTCAAATGTAAATAATATGTATTCTTACCTG